ATGAATGGGACAGTTGATATCTGTTTTTCATGCCAGATCTTTGGAATCCTGTGTGTGTTTTACACTCACAGCACTTGTCACTTCAGACCAGTGCTGTGGAATCGGGCAGCGCAGGCTTCAGAGTCACAGCCCCAGCTCTTTAGCCTGGGCCTCCACAGCCCCCAGTCCCAGCTCACGATTCCAGAGCTGACTCCGTCCCTGCTCAGGTGCTCCAGCAACGCAGGAGCCATGCACGCGCCTGGACTGTCCTGCCCTCAGCGTTGCCCCTTTGTGCCCAGCCCCTCTCTCCTCCCTGCCCGTCTCTCTCCCAGTGCTTTTCAGGGGGACCAGGGTTTTTCAACATGCTCATCCAGATCAAGGCTCTGTTCATACCGAAGCCAGCAGGGAAATCCCATTACTAACACTGACCACTGACCAAGATTTTTTTTTTCCCCTAGACATTTTCTGGAACAAAAATTCCTTACCCTTATGGTACAGAATCTGGCTGTATAATTTTTATTCTTACATTTATTGAATTAAATGTTCTAACTATTTCTGTTTCTTAATGTGAAAAACAGGAGTAAAATGCTTTCTGTTCTTTCTCTTTCATTAAACTCAATCCAAATAATAACCCAGAGCAACTTAAAGTAAGTGACTCTCTACCACTTTGTCCTGGAGTTATGCTTCCCACCTGGGCCTGGGCTGTGAGCGAGGCTGGCACTTTGATCCTTAGAACCCTTGTGAATGGCCCTGGCAGGCTGGTCTTCGGAGCTAGTTGTCATTTGTTGGTGGGACAGAAGACAGCACGCTCACTCCGGGGTCTTATGGGCCTGTCTTGGTCTTGCACCTTGGCCCATCTGTCCCACTGGCCCCAAGATGCCTTTGATGCGCTTCCTTCACTCCCTGCTCAGGGCCCTTGCAGTAGTTGTTCCCTCTGTGTGGGTACGCTTCCCCAGACGTCCGCTTAGCCTGATTTTTGCCATCCTTCCAGTCTGTGTGCAACCGTCCCCAGCATCAGAGGAAGGCCTTTCCCCACTGTCCTGGTTGAAATTGAAATCACGGCAAGCTCCTCTCCCCCAGCAGTTTGTCTTTTCTCCCTGTTTGTTTCTTCTCCACAGCACATGCTGTCATCAGATAGTGTAAATGTCCCTTACGTTGTCATCCCACCGGCACGTAAGCTCCATGGAGAAGGGGTTTCAGTTAGTGCGGTGTCAGTGCCTGGCACGCGGTATGCACTCGATACTGAATGAACGAATGGGACTTCAGGCAAGTTTCTCAAGCTCTCTGAGCCTGTTTCCTCATGGGTAATATGGCAGTAAGTGCCTGCCTTCCTATAGGGAAACAGGCACTATTACCTTGCTGGTAGGAATTTTTACAGATATTGCCAAATTGCCTTCTTCGTGGGAGACAATTTGGCAATATCTGTAAAAATTATAAATGCTTATGCAGACAGATGTACAGGATATAGTATCGAATGAGGAAGCAGAGGTGAGACAGTGTGTAGTGTGCTTCCTTTGATAGGAAGAAAGATAGGTGTGCAAATTTGTGTTCATGTTTGGCTTGCGCATACACAGAGACACTCTGGCGAGGCAAACAAGATAATGGTGACTCAGGACAGAGGATTTGGAATGGAGAAGAGTGTGAGTGAGGCTTTCCACTGTTTATACCCTGCAGGGCTGTTCTGAGGATTAGCGAGCACTGGAGGGGGGGGTAAAGCCTCTTACCACTGCCTGGCACCTGCGCTAGCTGCTCAGGTTGGAGGCCGGAGCGGCGCTGCCGTTGTAGATGTGGCTTGCAGACACTGAGCCTGCCTGCCAGGTGCCCTCGCTGAAGCACACGATTTCCCCACCTTCGAGCACACGAGCTGGTAGGGAAAACTGACGGGAGAGCAGGTGAGAAACCCTTACCACATTAGAGCTGGGTCCGAGGTCCTTTTTTCTTTTTTGATCTGATGTGACCAATCCTCCTGTGCCAGAGTGTGACAGTAACGTCTGCTTAGGTGCCCCGGGGGAGAGGGGGATCAAAGTAATGGGCGCAGGTTTTTGTCCATAAATTAGATCCAGGCCGGGCGCGGTGGCTCATGCCTGTAATCCTAGCTCTCTGGGAGGCCGAGGCGGGCGGATCGTTCTGAGCTCAGGAGTTCAAGACCAGCCTGAGCAAGAGTGAGACCCCGTCTCTACCAAAAATAGAAAGAAATTAATTGGACAGCTAAATATATATACAGAAAAAATTAGCCGGGCATGGTGGCGCATGCCTGTAGTCCCAGCCACTCGGGAGGCTGAGACAGTAGGATTGCTTGAGCCCAGGAGTTTGAGGTTGCTGTGAACTAGGCTGAGGCCACGGCACTCGCCCCAGGCAAGAGAGTGAGACTCTGTCTCAAAAAAAAAAAAAAAAAAAAATTAGATCCGCACGTCTACTTAAGGTGGTCTCAATGCAACTTTATAATATGGGAATAAAGTTTTTAAATATATTTTGTCATCTCAGTAACATTTATTTTATCATATAATAATGGTGCTATAACTATTTGTCTTCATATCTCACCATTGCAAAACAAGACTATTTTTATTTGATAGTACTACAATTTTCAAGTTCTTTTTTTTTTGAAACAGAGTCTTGCTCTGTTGCCCAAGCTAGAGTGCCGTGGCATCAGCCTAGCTCACGGCAACCTTAGACTCCTGGGCTCAAGTGATCCTCCTGCCTCAGCCTCCCGAGTAGCTGGGACTACAGGTGCACGCCACCACACCCGGCTAAATTTTTCTATTTTTAGTAGAGATGGCATCTCACCCTTGCTCAGGCTGATCTCAAACTCCTGACCTCAAGTGATCTTCCCGCCTCACTCTCCCAGAGTGCTAGGATTACAGGCGTGAGCCACCGCACCCAGCCCGTTTTCAAGTTCTAATGGAATTTTTTTGTTGTGTTTTTTTAAGGCCCCAAATAAAATGTACTCCTAACCACACCACTGAACGTTCTTGTGTCCTTAAATTTTTCCAAACATGATAGAGTAAAAGTGAAGTTATCTTGGAAAAAATGGGCAGTCTGGCTCCCTAGCCTTGAGTTAGCTTGTGCAGGTTTGTCTGACAAGGCCACTGATAGGGGTGAGCTCCTGGACACCCGTAAACCCTGGGCCATCAGGCATAGTCACATTTGTGGGACCAGGAGTGCTGGGGCAGACTGGGCCCAGTGGGCACAGCAAAGTTGTAAACAGCAAGCCTGGCAGAGCTCTGATAAGGGAGTGGGGGGCCTCTTAACTCACCATCAACACAATCCCTGCACCACGCCCACCCTCACCCCAGTAAAAAGCCCGGGTCTGGCCATGTACATTATCTCTAACCTCTGTTTTTTGCATATCTCTCTAACCTCTTGCTGAAAAAATTGTGAAGATCTGATGGAAATACTGCCAGAGTAGTGCTAGATTTTTAGGTTGTTGGCATTAACGTAGGTCAGGTGTTTTTTATAGGTAGGTCACTAGGCAGGAAGGGGAAAAAGGCGGGGGAGGAAATGTTGGCTATGTCCCCAAGGCTGGCTTGCCACGTACCTATTAATTTAAGAGGGCCAGCCATGCCATCCTATGGCAGCAAGCAGTGACACCTGCTGCTAAGTAACCTTAGCCCAACCCAGGGTCCCCGAGAGCCGGGCCTGTGTGCCATGCAGGGTTCTTGCCCCCCATTCTTCCCTACCTGGGGTCATTTGTTAGTGACCCACCCTCCAAAGTCTAATTTTCATGCAATGAGCTTGCATGGCTGATTAATCAGTTCTTTCCCAGCCCTTTTAAAAATCAAGTTATTTCATTCCTGTGGTTTTCTATAAAAATATAGCACACATATCAGGCACATGGCCACAAAGCCAACCAGGCAGAAGGCAGCATGTTTCCTGGCAGGATCTGCATCGGTGTTCCTAGTGCTCCCGACACTTGAGCCAGGGAATCCCCACCTGTTCGGTGAAGTGGTAGCGTTTAACTCAGCTTGGGGGCTGCTGGGCTCCCGTGGGGACACTGTTACTGGGGTGATGGGACAGTGTAGAGGGTTTGGCAGAACTTGGGAGTCTTGGGAACTTCCAGATGCTTTCTGGTGATGTGATTTTGAGATGGGACAGCCCAGAGAGGGACCACTGTAGTGGAAGCTGTTGTGCGGGTGATGCCCACGGCAGGGTTTGCAAGCAAGGAAGGGTGCTCGTTTTGTGCCTTTGTTGGGGGTGCTTTTTGCCTTTTGTTCTATTGGCTTTAAAGGCAAGACTAGTGATACATGCCTGTTAAAAGAAACAGCTGGGTCAAGGGACCAGAATTAGCTTGAGGTAGAGTGATAGTGATTAACTGCATACCCCTGAATTAGTCATCCATTTATTTCTTTAAACGCCACCTCATTCCAAAGAGGATTTGCTTGAGGAAGTGCTCACAGAGACACACAGGACGGCGTGTACACGCAGGGAGGCCCCAGTGACCCAGGGCTGAGGCGGAGCCCGGGAAGTGTGCTCTGGAGTCCCGTGTGCCGCTGGCGGTTGGCTGCAGATTGGCCTCCCCGCCTTCGAGCAGCCAAAGCAGAGGGGCAGATGTAGTCAGCACGTGACTTACAGTGACGATAAATGCAGAGAAACCATGAGGGTGAGACATAGCTTTCCTGGCGGTGAGGACTGAGAGATTTGACCTGTGGGTGCTCATGGCGAGGATACTGCACATAGATGCAGCGAATCGCAGAGTCAGACGCTCCCGCCGTAAGAAAGAGTGTCTACAGGCTGCCTCTCTCACCCGTGTATCCAAGCGCTGGCACATAGCAGGTCCTCAGCAAATCATTGTTGAATGACTGACTCCCTCAGTGAAAGCCAGTGGCCTAACACCCAAGTGCAGTTTTAGAAAGTAATTCTCCAAGGGGCCAAATGCTCTTCGCTGGCTGGGCCGACCCCAGGATGCCATGCGGAGTGCCTGGATGGACTCTTCCCTTCTCACCGAGACGCAGACGAGTCTTGCTGGAAAAGTAGACCTTTAAAGCTTCTCCATTGTGATAACTTGTTCTCCTTTGTCTTCACAGAGACTAATAGACAAGTCACGAGTAACCTGTGTCAAATGGGTTCCCGGTTCGGAAAGCCTTTTCCTAGTAGCCCATTCGAGTGGGAACATGTACTTGTATAATGTGGAGCACACTTGTGGCACCACAGCCCCCCACTACCAGCTTCTGAAGCAGGGAGAGAGCTTTGCCGTGCACACTTGCAAGAGCAAATCCACGAGGAACCCTCTCCTTAAGTGGACGGTGGGCGAGGGGGCCCTCAACGAGTTTGCTTTCTCCCCAGATGGCAAGTTCTTAGCGTGCGTGAGCCAGGACGGGTTTCTGCGGGTGTTCAACTTTGACTCGGTGGAGCTGCACGGTACGATGAAAAGCTACTTTGGGGGCTTGCTGTGTGTGTGCTGGAGCCCGGATGGCAAGTACATCGTGACAGGTGGCGAGGACGACTTGGTGACAGTCTGGTCCTTTGTAGACTGCCGAGTCATAGCCAGAGGCCATGGGCACAAGTCCTGGGTCAGTGTTGTGGCGTTTGATCCCTATACCACTAGTGTAGAAGAAAGCGACCCTATGGAGTTTAGTGGCAGTGACGAGGACTTCCAAGACCTTCTTCATTTTGGCAGAGATCGAGCAAATAGTACGCAGTCCAGACTATCCAAACGGAACTCTACAGACAGCCGCCCCGTGAGCGTTACATATCGGTTTGGTTCGGTGGGCCAGGATACACAGCTCTGTTTATGGGACCTGACAGAAGACATCCTTTTCCCTCACCAACCCCTCTCCCGAGCAAGGACACACACAAATGTCATGAATGCCACGAGTCCTCCTGCTGGAAGCAATGGGAACAGTGTCTCAACGCCCGGGAACTCTGTACCCCCTCCTCTGCCACGGTCCAACAGCCTTCCACATTCTGCAGTCTCAAATGCTGGCAGCAAAAGCAGTGTCATGGATGGGGCCATTGCTTCTGGGGTCAGCAAATTCGCAACACTTTCCCTGCATGACCGGAAGGAGAGGCACCACGAGAAAGATCACAAGCGAAACCATAGCATGGGACACATTTCTAGCAAGAGCAGTGACAAACTGAATCTAGTTACTAAAACCAAAACGGACCCAGCTAAAACTTTGGGAACACCCCTGTGTCCTCGAATGGAAGACGTTCCCTTGTTAGAGCCGCTGATCTGTAAAAAGATAGCACATGAAAGACTGACTGTGTTAATTTTTCTTGAAGACTGTATAGTCACTGCTTGTCAGGAGGGATTTATTTGCACATGGGGAAGGCCTGGTAAAGTGGTAAGTTTTAATCCTTAATGCTGCACCAGATCTAGAACTTGAATAGGTAGTGATTTTTTTTCTTGTGGGAGGGGTGGGGTGTACAATGAATGTGAATGACACTTCTTATACTTAATGTAAATCTAAATGCATCAGAGCCATAATTTTGGATACTGCATGCCATGTAATTCTGAATCATTTGATAATTTACCTTAGAGCATTTAAAAAAATATAATCAAACTAATTGCCAGCCAAGTCAGTCATCCTCCTGGGAGTATATAGAGTCCCAAGGTTAGCGTTCCTGTATTAGACTACTTCAATTTTAGGAAAATCATGACAGTGTGGGAAAACAATGACTTTAAAATGCTAAAATTAAAATTTATGCTTTAACTGGAATATTTTTGCTTAACTTCTCAATTAGAATATTGTACACCTGATCAGAGTGTGTGTTCAGTACAGATGGCCATTGTCATTTATAGTCCAATTTTTTACCTTAATCATAAAATGTTTAGGAATCTATGAAATTTAACTTTAGGAACAAAGCGTTTAGCAGAGTTGATTGATATTATTTTTACATTGTTCTGGCAATCCACAGAAAGAGAAGAGCCTTAATTTTTAAAACCCATTTTAGTCATTTTATGACAATTAAAGTTGTTTAATAAACATCTTTTTCAAAGAAGCAGTTTGTAGCACTTTGATTGAGATTCTGTGCACTAAAATACCCACCTTACTCAGAGCCCAGACAGTTCACGTGAACTGCGGGCTGAGGACGCCAACGGCAGTTGTCAGAAGTGCCTCTCGCCACATAAGCCAAGACAGTTTACGTCAGATGCGCTTCGCTTATGTGTTCTCCAACAAGGGAAAGGTAGTTTTTTTGGTTTTGGGGGTGGGGGGTGGAGTCAGAAAGGCATGTGACTTTAGACCGTGGCAGACTTGGTTGTCTTTAGACTGTTAGAGTCCCCAGGCTTCAGAGTGCCTCCCTGGCAGGGGGTACAAGTGCAGGTCCCCTCTTCTTGTTCTTGGATGGCAGTGGTGATTCCAGGATTACTCTGGGGACGCCGACGCTGGCCTTGTGCTCAGGCTTCATCCTCAGTCCCACCCCAGCGCCTCCCCCGGGGGCCCTGGTGGCCTGCGGCCGCGCAGGAGTGGTGCTGTGTGGACTCCTGCAGCCGGGAGGCTGTGCTGCTTCCACGGGACACTGCGGGGTTTGATTGTGACTCCGCGATCCCTGCAGCTGCGCAGGGGGTTTCATTTCAAACTCTAGTTTTCACAGTGGATGAGATGGCTCTTGGAGCTGTCTATTGTATGTCAAGATGGTGATTATCTTGTTAACTTATTTGGGGCATTTAGGTTTGTTTTTGTTTTGCACACCTTTGTAATTAAATACAGAGATAATGACAATTTATACGGTGTGAGTAGTGAATGCGATTCAGCAAAGTGAAGACCCGGGGACTTTTATTTCTCTGCAGTGCAAAGACTCTCGTAGATGGAGCAGAGCCCTCTGTGCTCCTAATGCCACCTCCACCCGCAGGAAGCCAGGCCAGTCCCCAGGCCTGCTCCCTGCTTCCGAACATGTGGCCAGATCTGTCCACCCCGTGCCTGTCATGCTCCCTAACGCAGTGGATTCTGTGAAATGGGATCACGGCAGCCTCCCAGGTGCATCTCACCTCAGTTTATACATTTCACATCCCTGAGCGGTGCTTCAAGGGAAATGTTAACGTCCTATTTACCTTTAAAAGATGGTTCTTTGTTCCTAAAGGTTAACTATCTAAGGTAGCAAAGACAGCCATCCTTGTGGACTGTTTGCACTTTGGAAGCTAAGTCAGGCTGTCAGGTGGAGAGATCAGTAACGAACATTCCATGTGCAATTTTATGCAGCTGCACAGTTTTAGAAACTCAGTTTCAAATGCTTCTGAGGCATTGAGTATGCAGTTTCAAAATTCAGGTCTTAGTGTTTGGCCTAAATGGAGAGTAGGTGATCACAGGTAAGTAGCATTGATGGTGAAACTTACGGTGACCTTTCAGTTCTGAAGGTATCGCCGGCTGGCAGGGAGCCGCGGTGTGTATACTCGTGTAACCAACGCAACCAACTGGGCGCTCTCCGACCGCCCCCCACCCCCGCCCTTAACTGATACTGTCAGCTGCACCAGCTGGGTGGAAGGAGAGACGGCAGAGGTACACTAAAGGTGACTTAGGACTCGGTTTGTTGATGGGAATGGGGGTGGGACAGGCAAGAGGAGGAGATCGATCATTGCTTCCTTTAAAAACAACTCTGAAATGTGCTAATAGAAGCCTGTGTTGTGTCTTTCTCCACCCTTACCTCCAGTTTTAAAAACCGTGATAATGCCACAGTTCTGGATTCGGGGCTTGGTCACAATCTCTTTCTTCTAATTTCTGCTGAGGAGTGTAGTGTCCTTAATGTCTGTCTGGTACCCCGTCTGGGGCCCCTGCCCCTTGTGGGTGTAAGCCCTGAGGAGGGGCTGCCTGGCTCTGCCCGGCCCGGCCTGCTCAGCCCAGGCCAGCCGCGGGCACTGCAGCGTGCGCTGCTCCGCGTCCCCTGTGCCCCGCCGACTCCTGCCCCCTGCCCTTGACAGCCGGCAGAGCACTTGTGCAGGCAGGAGGACAGGATGCGAGGTGTTCTCCGAGACCAGAGCCGAAATGTCCGACAGCTTGAGAAGAGGGCGCTGGAGAGGGGCAGGCGGGGCCCCCTCAGAAGTGCTTCTGAGCAGTGGCTCCTGCAGACCTGGGCAGGGGCTGAGGAGGGGCAGCTCGGGGGTTCCCGGTCTCAGACGTGTGAGGCGCAACGCCACATTGCTTCCACGGGAGCCTCTAAGAAATTCGGGGAGCACTTTTGTAGTTTTCTCACCAAACTTTGAGCTTTCTCATTGAAATTTTTCAAAGTTTTTCAGCTTAAACGTTATCACGAGCAAGATTATCTTTTCTAGCCTAACCTCTAGAATAAAACACAGCAGTTGGCAAGAGGAGGCTGCTGTTCAAACGTGCACTGGGGACAGAGACAAAGGCGCGGGGATCTTGTCCTCCCCGGCCAGAGGCCGAACCTGGCCCCTGTGCGGCGTCAGAAGCCCTCAGAGGGGCCAGGCCAGGGCCGTGGGGAGCCCGTCGACATGCCCTGCACTGACTCGCCTCTTCTGAACCTTCCAGTAATTCCAGAAGCCAGGCCTGTGCTGCGACTTTGATGAGGCGGCTTCTGCACAACCCCGCAGCCGTTGTCTGAGGCTGTCTTCTTGTTCGGGGGCAGGGGATTAAGACCCCCCCCACCAAGAGGCCTGGAGAAGGGAGACTTTGGAAAACCTGTCCTTCTTCTAAAAGCAAATGGGTAAGAGGGAGTAGGCAGACACTTTAAAAATAGCTCGTAAGTTTGGGCTCTAAATTTACTTAATAGTGGTAAAGAATCTTAATTTCTCTTTTGTGCTGACTGAACCTCCTAGCAGTTTGGAAGTGTCCTCCTGTGAGCCCTGAGCTTGAGACTAAGGATAAATGCCTTAAGATGGAAAAACGGAGGGGTAGAAAAACAGAAAAAAGCTATAACAATGAGTATTGTCTCAAAGACATTCAGAAATTCTGAGAAACAAAGTGCTGTGCTCCCTAAAAACCTGACCAGTTGTTACGGGCATGCACCCCAGGTGGGGTTTCGTGTTCTGCACCGTTTAGCTTCACGCCCAGTCCCAGGTGGCAGATAGCCAGGCAGCCACTTCTGCGCAACTCCCCACTTCCTGTGGTGCATCTGAAATATTAAAGACATTTTTAAGTATTAGATTCGTGCTGAAGTTGGTGAAACTGCCTTATCACACGTCTGCACCTGGGAACAAGGTCCTTGTCACCTCTTGCCTGAGAGGGAGATGTTTTATTTCTTATTGAGCAAGCTCAGAGTGTGAGGAGGAAAAAGCCAAAGGGTCAGGGAGGCTGGAGAAGGAATCCTTTGGAAAACCAGATGGTGCATCTCACGTATCTGGCTGTCCGAGGAAGAACTAGAAGCAGAGTTCAACTGTGCATTTTCCAATGATAGACTCGCGGAGCGCAGCGTCTGTGGGTGAGGGCTTGGCCAAGGGGGTCAGAGACCATTGCACTGCCCCCAACGCCGGTGACAGTGGGAGCAGTTGGCCTCTGAATTTCTGATTGCACCATTGCGGCGGATGTCTCGCTCCTCAGCAGTGAGAACCTCTGCGCACGTGTCTAGGTCTAATAGGTGACCTGGAGACGTCGCCCCTGGCCTGGACTGGGCTACAAAAGGGAAGGTTGGTATGCCTCCTGTCCTGGGAACAGGGTGAGGGCCTTCCCTTGTCCAGAGCGTGCCCTGGGGCTGATGGGGACTGTCACATGTTGGTTTAGGTTGACAAGGCACTCAGCACGCTGGCTCCAGTGATGTCCCAAAGAGAGGAAACGTTCATACGGCCAAAGCCAAATCTGTGGCTCACCGTTTAAAAGCACTTGTATTAACTGTTACCTTTGAAGCTCAGATCCCAAGTTAAAAACTGTAAGAACAGGCCCCTCTAATAGAGGGAAGCGGTCCCACTGGTGTTGGTTTTTTATTCATTGCTGCATCTGTTACATGAACTTGTGTCATAGTTAAATTGCTGTCTCTCAGTTAAAAGTGTAAAGGAAATATTTCCTGCATTTTCATGATTTCTGTATTCCCAGTTTATTAAAGATTGTTACGTTAGGTGACACTGTATAAAACTGTATGGGTATTTACCTTCAGTGAAAATCAAAAGTAAAATTCACATGTATTTCATTTTTTACATTTTCATCCAATTTCTTGACAACTTGAATAAATTTGATAAAGAGCCTTCCTAACATGAATATTGGTAAATTAAATGTTGCAGTAATTAACGAAGCTTTAATATCAGTATTGTTACTTTATAATTTTAAGAAAATCATGTTTCTGTTTCACTGCTTTGTTTTTTAGCTGTTCCCTTGTCACTGTCACAGCTAAAGAGACAACATACTTGATAATCTGAAGTACTTTGGGGTTGTCTTCTGTATATTGACATTAAATAAAC